TTTGGTCGAGATACATCTATTTTAAAATCTGGAATCTGAGCATGCAAAAACAAATCTAAATACTGAGAAAATCGCCTTTAAAGTTGTCCGAATTCATTCTTAGCAATGCATATTGCTAATCAAAAATGAAGTTTTGATATATTTACGGTAGGACATTTACAAAATATCTTCATGGAACATGATCTTTACGTAATATCCTAATGATTTTTGGCATAAAAGAAAAATCGATAATTTTGTTTTTTTGGCTATTGCTAAAAATATACCCAAGTGACTTAAGACTGCTTTTGTGGTCCAGGGTCACATATATCAAATGTCACATAGTTCGCTATATGGTGAACGAGTGAACAAAAATGAGATCTGACTGTAGACTGCACATTATATATGACAGTACAGTACATACACACTATATCCAAAATGCGAGAAAAAATAAAAAACTCAAAATCTGATTTTATATAATTCAGATTTAGACAGATTTCCAAAAACCAGTTTTTATCGGATTTTAACCATATTGTAGTTCTTAATAGCTCATTTCATTTGGTTTTATGCTGTTCAGTCTACAAAACTTGAATTTGAGTCAGATTCTGGCTACCAAAATCTGTTATATCAACACTCTTACATTTTATGCTAACTCAACTTTATTTTACAGTAACTCAAGTCAAAACTATGAACCTAATTCTAAATGAAGGCTCTTTACATCTTCACGTAACTAAAAAGCAGTGTGTGTATGTTTGCAATGCTAATATACTTGTCCTGACCAAACCAAAACAGTAACATAAACTCCTTTCATACATAGTCTTTAATGGAAAATTACTAGTAAATTACTGTTTAGAAATCATGTGGGAACAGGACCTTGTGAAAAAATACCAGTTTATAATATCAGTTTATAATAACCAGTTTATAATATCCAAAATATCAGTTATGACAATTTTCCCGGGATGAAAAGTTGTAACATTATCAGTAAATTGCCGTTATAATGCGATGTGTGAACAAACCGGTATATGAGCATGTAAAAGGTCTGTAAGAATGCACCGATGTTATAAGTATGCGTTGAGCCAATTATAAAGTTTTACAGTGATGGCGCGATTACGTCACGCACTGTTTACAGCAATAATTTGAATACTTTTTTTCTATATAAACATGAGCTAGACCAGGAGTGTCCAAACTCGGTCCTGGAGGGCCGGTGTCCTGAAGAGTTTAGCTCCAACCCCAATTAAACACACCTGAACCAGCTAATCAAGCTCTTACAAGGCATACTAGAAACTTAAAGGCAGGTGTGTTGAGGCAAGTTGGAGCTAAACTCTGCAGGACACCGGCCCTCCAGGACCGAGTTTGGGCACCCCTGAGCTAGACGGACATCTTTGACTGTTGCGGTGCATCTTCCTGCTTTACCCTGCCTTCTTTTCCATTCATCGGCGGCTCTGCGTTGGATATTATTGTGCAGCATCTCTCCTTTTTCATGCTTTAATGCATTCTGTGAGAGCAGCCCCTCACGCCTGTCACTCAGAAGTCAAAAAACGTTGTCAAGTTGGACAGATAGTGAAACTAAAATGCTTCTCCTCATCCCGGCAGATGTAGAAAGCAGTGAAGCATTTAAAGGTCTTTTCTGTTGATTGACATCACAGCGTTTATTGGTATTTTGGTACTGATGTGTGAACCGTATTTTAGCGGTAAAAAGATGTAAAGCATTTGTGTGTTTACCAGAGAAGTCAGTCTGAAAAGTAATCTGGTCATTTCACGGTAATTTACCAGGTTTCATGTCTGAAAGCATCAATAGTTTGACAGTTAAATTATTTTTTGCAGTTCCATCGGTGACACTACAGGTGCAGGAATGACATAATTCAGCTTTAAACTATCACTTGCATTGATTACTTTTCAACAAAACAGAAGAAATGGAAAGTTGACATCATACTTTGATGCGCATCAAAGATTGTATAGCTGGGATGTGTGGGTGTTTTTTTCCTCTAAGATTTGTTGATGTCTGGAGAAATCACAAAGTAAAGCCATGGCACCAGCGCCCGTTTGAACTTCTGATGTGACAGGCATCTGTTTCCATGGAGACAGCTGAAAACTCTGGGAAGTGTCTTAACTAACTCATCGGCAAGAAGTTGACTTCTATCTGAAACATACCGACAGCTGCTGCCTTCAAGACCTATTGGGAACTTCCCACTTGCAAACTCTGAACTTGCCACTGTGGTGTCATGTGTGTTCAAGTGCTGTGACTAGAATAAAATGTATGCGTTGAGCTTTCTTAAGAAGCATTTTTTTGAGGGTTAAGAGATGAACAAGTGTAATCTCTATATTTTCTCAGTTTATGTATATTTCTGTATTATTTTTCATTCTCTTGCAGCCACAGAAAATGATGACAGATGTGTTTTGGTCTTGCTGGCCAGTTGCCTCATTAACCTGCAGCTATGCTTATCGCTATTCCTCATCATATACACAAAATGTATGCAAAACAGTTTTCACATAAACCTCGTTCAGACTGTTAGCCCAAATCCGATTTCTGTGCAAATCCGATCATATTTAAATAGTCTGAACGGCAACGAACTACATGAAATCCGATTTTTGCAAATCTGTTTCGAGCTACATTCATACGTGGTTTGAAATCCTATTCAAATCGCATTCCTGGAAATCCGTTTCAGTCTGACTGGTCAGATCGGATTTAGCGTAGCTTTTTCACGTTCTCACTCCACATAAAGCATAAATACGTCAGATGTTTTTTGTAGAAAACATAAACATCTGAACATCTTTGCAGAAACAAGCTTGTGTTGTTGCAAAGTGTAAGTCAAGCGGAAAAAGACAACATACTGCTAGTATACGCACCTCTTTGAGTTATGAGGCTGGTGGAGACGGCGGCACGGAATAAATCAAGTCACACATTCCAGCTTCCTGCATTT